TGTAGACATGTGAGAAAACTTAACCACCCCTGGTCGCACCAAGTGGTCCCCTCGACCTCACAATCTTATCCATATCTATCCGAGACCAGTATGGATTGGGTAGCACCCACAAGTACGGTGCTACTAATTAATTGTGGACTGTATAGATTAAATTAGTTTTAACTGAATGAAGGGGGGGGGGGGTAGGACACACATGGTTTCATCCGTCAAGGAAAACATTTGTACTTAATCCCACTACTTACCAGATGTTCCTGGGTCACTTGATGTAGCTGGATCACTCGTAACTATCTAATTATAACATACCACTACTGGCAGTCTAAGGTTGCTATAACTAGAAGGGTTACTTAACTGTGGGTGATTGATATTCCTCATTTCTTTGTTTCCCACCATCTCATTTTCGATGTCCGGGCTACACCGACACGATTCTCATTCCCAGCAGGACGAGGTATCCGCTGGTTTGTCCTGCTTTAAGACGTCGTGACTCAAGGAGTTTCCCTTTCCTCGTCTCGTTAACAACGAGGTCTAGCGTGTTCACTCGGAGCAAACGACTTATTTCACTTCACATATTCTCTTAACTTAGCGTTATTATCATTAATTACATTACAATTCACAAGCCGATTTAACGTCTCATAACAAATATACAAATTAGAGGTCACTCCATTAAGATCTGAGACCGATGAGTGATGATTAATCCAAGGGTAATTTTCCCAGGACACAGTCCATTGTGGCGCGTCAGCCCACCCGCTCCTCTCTTTTTCACATTTTTAAACCACTCTATTACTGTGGTCCCCGTAAATCCCGTTCCCCTTTCACCTCCACCAGGAACAATTTACGACACTTCTTATTATGAAATGAGGCCTATATTAATCCTTAGGCCACCGTGAACGTCAATTTCGTGGTTCCATGTTTTTTTTCCAGTTTTCCTCACCACCATTCAAAACAATACGCGCCCACCCCCCGCACATCCGCGCATGCGCAAAGGGAACTCTTGGTTCTACTCTTATTTTCAAATACATTTTTGACCCATATAGACACATTAAACACCTATTAGGCACTATAGTTTTGGGAAAAATAAAAAAATTTTTCCAAAACTGCGGCCGGGGCGAGGTTCGTTGCTAAAACGACATACTTTAATGTGGAGTACAATTTTCCATCTTCACTGGCCCCCATATTTTTTGAACTCTAAAAAATGGACTAATTGGTGTTCCATTCTTCAGGGGCATAAGCCTATGCTCCCTGGATTAAGTTATTGGGCATACTGGAATTTTGAGACTTTACCCCAATAAAAAGTCTCTCCAGTATCCCAAGTCAGCCCCAGCACATTACTGCATATAGGCACCAACCCCATGGCCTTTCCATATTTATTGAACCCTCAAAATGGACTAATTGGTGTTCCATTCTCTCAGGGGCATAAGCCTATGCACCCTGGATTAAGTTATTGGGCATACTGGAATTTTGAGACTTTACCATAACAAGTCTCTCCAGTATCCCAATTCAGCCCCAGCACATTACTGCAAAATAGGCACCAACCCATGGCCATCTTATTTATTGATCCCTCAAAATGGACTAATTAGTGTTCCATTCTCTCAGGGGCATAAGCCTATGCTCCCTGGATTAATTTATTGGGCATACTGGAATTTTGAGATTTTAAAAACAATAAAAAAGCTCTCAGTATCCCAAGTCAGTCCCAGCACATTTTTTCATTATTTCATTAACCCCTTCACATATCCTCATTAGTTCCTCTTCAGTTGACGTCACACAACCCGGAAATTTGTCCACATAAGATTATTTACCCAATTACTTTTGCTCAGTGGACCGCCTTGCATTTAAGGTGTGCATTTATTCGTCGCCTGAAGTAAGAACAATTTATTTTTTAAAACTGCTTATTAATTATATCATTATAAGCAGTCAACAATTTTGGTGTCTTGCTCAGTTCGCAGAGCTGGGCCCTTTAAACTGTCCATACCCATCCTATAATTAGTAGGTAATCTGGACGGTCAAGCTTCCACGGAAGTCGCACCCAGTAATGTCCAGATTCAAAATTTAAAAACATCCTTCAGGTATTGTTCCTGAGAAAAGGGAATCTTTTTGGACTTTCCTCTTTTTACAATTAATCCCAAAGCTGTCCAGCTCCCCACAAATTAGACTGGTTCAACATCATTCTCGATAGAAGAATACTTGTACTGGGTTGACCTTTCATGAGTAAGACAAAAACCCCTGACCGTTCACTACTTCCTCAGTCATTATACTAGCGGTAGTCTGCCATATAAATTTCATGGCCCGGGAACCAGTGTTGAGGAGAGTGACCCCCTGTATGGTTTTGGATTTATGCCCTTTATCCTGAATTTTTACATCCAACACCGTCAAGGCTACCTTCAGCTAGGCCATCATTAATGCCATTAGCTGCAACCTTTACATCAGTCACTGTAGTGTCAGGGTTATTAACATTATCATTTTTTGTCACCATTATTTAAGAATCACATACAACCCTGCACATAACTGTATGGTGCTTTCCCTTGTTGCATTGATAGCAACTGTTCAATTTGGTATGACAATCCTTTACATTTTGATTGTCTAGACATCTGATAAATCTGTCAAGTTCTTTTATTCTTTCCACTTTAATATCCCCTGAATTACAGGGATTACAATTTTTTGTGAAATGAGTTACCTGGCAGAAGAGGCAGTCTCTCTTTTCCTTGCCTGACCTCTTATTAACTGGGTTAAAACTTACTGAGGTACTTATTCCTCTTACCTTTGTGGAGGAACCACTATTACTGATTCCTGACTTGATATGTGCCTATTTAAAAATCTTAACTTATGATTATTACCACAGGATTATTTTTCCCTTTTGAGGCTTGACAGATACTTCAGAGTCATTATGTGTTATAAACCTTAAACTGTTTGGCTGACTGGTCTGCAATTGAACAATTAATTCCTGCCGACCTAGTCTGATTTCCTCCAGACCGTACTACGGAGGTTTTGGCAAACACAAACCCTTTGCATTAATAGGGTTGATCAACTGCCTGGCTTACACCCTTTAAATTATTCAAAGCCTTACTTTTACAAGACAGTTTTTTCTTCCAATTCGTAATGTTGATTAATTAAAACATTCATTTCCATTCCATCTGCACAATTCTCTAGCAGATCTCTTTCACAGTCTTTAAACCACAATTGTACCAATCAAATCTACTCTCTAAAGCATCTAAATATAACTTTAATTCATTAGGGTTCACGGTTTCTTTGATTTCCCAAATCAAATGCCTTCGTCACATGGCTTTTAATAGCCTGTAATGATGCTTTCATTACTCTAAAATTCACGAGACTTTTTCAGCCCCATTAACTCCATTAGATCCAGTCATGGTTAGAGAATTATTAATCACTGATTATACAACTTAAGTAGGGGCCTTATAAGAGTAATTCTTGCACTTACTCTTGTATAAATCCTAGCCACACATGTGCTAGCAATTAATTTTGGGCTAAATTGTCATCCATCACACGATCGATTAAACTTGTGCACCCTAACACCCACTTCCTTCAATCAGTCACTTAATTATTAAGTAATTAATTCAATTAATTTTTTCACTGATTGCATCCGGTTCGAAGGACCAACCGGGCAGATATGGAAAATTTTCTAGGGTGCTTACCTGTATGTACCTCAACATTATATACATACCAGTAATCTCATTGGGAGACAAACATATTGTTTACCGTAGTCACCCGTGTAGACATGTGAGAAAACTTAACCACCCCTGGTCGCAACCAAGTGGTCCCCTCGACCTCACAATCTTATCCATATCTATCCGACCATATGGATTGGGTAGCACCCACAAGTACGGTGCTACTAATTAATTTTGGACTGTATAGATTATATTAGTTTAACTGAATGAAGGGGGGGGGTAGGACACACATGGATACATCCGTCAAGGAAAACATTTGTAAAATAATTTCCCACTACTTACCAGATGTTCTCTGGTGGTCACTTGATGTAGCTGGATCACTCGTAACCTATCTAAATTTTAACATACCATACTGGCCAGTCTAAGGTTGCTATAACTAGAAGGGGTTTCTTAACTGTGGGTGATTGATATTCCTCATTTCTTGATTCACCATCTCATTTTTCGATGTCCTGCTACACGACACGATTCTCATTCCAGCAGGACGAGGTATCCGCTGGTTTGTCCTGCTTTAGGACGTCGTGACTCAAGGAGTTTCCCTTCCTCGTCTCGTTAACAACGAGGTCCCAAACGTGTTCACTCGGGGGCAAACCCACTTATTTCACTTCACATATTCTCTTAACTTAGCGTTATTATCATTAATTACATTACAATTCACAAACCGATTTAACGTCTCATAACTATTATACAAATTAGAGGTCACTACCATTAAGATCTGAGGGCCGATGAGTGATGATTAAATCCAAGGGTAATTTTCCCCAGGACACAGTCCATTGTGGCGCGTCAGTCACCCCTCCTTCTCTTATCACACTTTTACCATTCTATTACTGTGGTCCCGTAAATTTCCCCTTCCCTCACTTCCCCCACCAGGAACAATTTCCCACACTTCTTATTATGAAATGGGGGCCTATATTAATCCTTAGGCCACCGTGAACGTCAATTTCGTGGTTCCATGTTTTCTCAGCTTCCTCACCACCATTCAAAACAATACGCGCCCACCCCCCCGCACATCCGCGCATGCGCAAAGGGAACTCTTTGGTTCTACTCTTATTTTCAAATACATTTTTGACCCATATAGACACATTAAACACCTATTAAAGGCACTATAGTTTTTGGAAAAACAAAAATTTTCCACAAATATAAAGGACCCCAACAGAAGTAAGTCACTCTGACTTTTTTGGGTTATCCTAGGTTCTCTACACATATGCTGCTATGTATGATAATTCTTTTGTAACTGTATTTGTGTAAAACCTGAATAAACTTACTTAATGAAAATCGGTGGGGGGGATTTGTGATGCCGTTCAGGAGGGAAAAAAAAAAATTATGGCCAGACATGTCAACAAACAGAAGACATACACAGTAGATGAGATTCCAAGACTTGAACAATGGTGTTGGTAGTGCCCACGTCTCGTAGCTCTTCCAGCAGGCTGTGGCTTAGCGCTTCTTTTTGATTATAATAATAATAATCTTCCAGCAGGCCTCTCCATAAATGACAGATTTATCCATAGTTTTTAGCCATTATCACTACATACACGCACTGTTTAGGTAACTTTTACTGTTTATTCAACATTGTCCAATAAGTACTGTGTTTGTTTTTATTTAGATTTTGCGTACATACAACACACTTATTTTTACAGTGGCTTACATGACACAGGTGTTAATAGCACATAAAGAGCACACTGTGTAGGTTGATACAACAGGTCTCTTCAACAGCTTATAAGAGTGTATTAGCGTTGGTAAAATTCCCAACAATGTTAGGTAAAAGGACACTAAGTGCAGTTAATGTGACGGCTTGACAAACCTCCTGGAGAGCGAAACGCTGCCACAATAAAATTTCACGTTAGTTGCACTTGTGTCCTTTTACCTAGCACTCTCCTGTATTTATTCTTGGTATTAGATTTAAAGAGCCACTGGTTGGGGAAACTTCACTAATAAAACTGTATGACCATTGAGGGTTTAACACTTAGTTTTGATTGTATGTTGACCCTTGTAGGTTTAGCATTTCTTTTTGATTATATATTATATATATGCAAAACAACCACTGTGAAAGAATAGAGAAATTCCACAGTAGTTGTTTTGCATATTCTGAAAACACCTGTTTACTGTGACCTTATTGCATATTATATATTATATATTATTATATATATATATATATATATATTATATATATTATATATATATATATATATATTATATATATTATATATTATATATATATATATATATATATATATTTTATATATATTATATATATTTTTTTTTTTTTTTTTTTTTATTATCACACCGGCCGATTCCCACCAAGGCAGGGTGGCCCGAAAAAGAAAAACTTTCACCATCATTCACTCCATCACTGTCTTGCCAGAAGGGTTGCTTTACACTACAGTTTTTAAACTGCAACACATTAACACCCCTCTTCAGAGTGCAGGCACTGTACTTCCCATCTCCAGGACTCAAGTCCGGCCTGCCGGTTTCCTGAATCCCTTCAATAAATGTTACTTTGCTCACACTCCAACAGCACGTCAAGTATTAAAAACCATTTGTCTCATTCACTCCTATCAAAACACGCTCACGCATGCCTGCTGGAAGTCCAAGCCCCTCGCACACAAAACTCCTTTACCCCCTCCTCCAAACCCTTCCTAGGCCGAACCCCTACCCCGCCTTCCTTCCACTACAGACTGATACACTCTTGAAGTCATTCTGTTTCGCTCCATTCTCTCTACATGTCCGAAACCACCTCAACAACCTTCCTCAGCCCTCTGGACAACAGTTTTGGTAATCCGCACCTCCTCCTAACTTCCAAACTACGAATTCTCTGCATTATATTCACACCACACATTGCCTCAGACATGACATCTCCACTGCCTCCAGCCTTCTCTCCTCGCTGCAACATTCATCACCACGCTTCACACCCATATAAGAGCGTTGGTAAAACTATACTCTCATTACATTCCCCTCTTTGCCTCAAGGACAAAGTTCTTTGTCTCCACAGACTCCTAAGTGCACCACTCACTCTTTTTCCCTCATCAATTCTATGATTCACCTCATCTTTCATAGACCCATCCGCTGACACGTCCACTCCCAATATCTGAATACGTTCACCTCCTCCATACTACTCTCCTCCAATCTGATATTCAATCTTTCATCACCTAATCTTTTTGTTATCCTCATAACTTACTCTTTCCTGTATTCACCTTTATTTTCTTCTTTTGCACACCCTACCAAATTCATCCACCAATCTCTGCAACTTCTCTTCAGAATCTCCCAAGAGCACAGTGTCATCAGCAAAGAGCAGCTGTGACAACTCCCACTTTGTGTGTGATTCTTTATCTTTTAACTCCACGCCTCTTGCCAAGACCCTCGCATTTACTTCTCTTACAACCCCATCTATAAATATATTAAAACAACCACGGTGACATCACACATCCTTGTCTAAGGCCTACTTTTACTGGGAAAAAATTTCCCTCTTTCCTACATACTCTAACTTGAGCCTCACTTCCTCTCGTAAAAACTCTTCACTGCTTTCAGTAACCTACCTCCTACACCATACACATATATATATATATATATATATATATATATTATATTATATATATATATATAATATATATATATATATTATATATATATATATATATATATATATATATATATATATATATATATATATATATTATATATATAATATTATATTATATATATATGTGTGTGTGTTTGTATTTATTTATATGTGTATACAAATGTATTTATTTATTTTTACCTCATTGGGCAGCCCCCACCAAGGTAGGGCAACCACCTGCAATAAAAATCTCTATCATTCATTCATTGACTATCATGCCAAAAGTGTACTAACATCACAGTTTGGATAACCCTCCAATTGTGATATTCACAGTGCACCTTCAGAGGGTTGGGATGCTCACACAATCTTTCTCTAAGGGCAGCCTCTACCATTCCTAACCTATACCACCTCCCTCTTACCATTCCTGGGTCTTACTTCCCAGATTTATACACCTTTTTTGTCATCGTATCCCTCTGTCCTCTCTAACTGCCCAAACCACCTCAACAATCCCTCCTCATCTCTTTGATACTTTTGGTAACCTTACTGTCTTTAAATTTCTATGCTCTCACTTCTCTGCATAATATTCACACATTGATCTCAAGCGTAATATTTCCATCACCAGGCACCTCATCGTTGCTGCAGTGTTCAGAACCCATGGATCGTACCCATATAAGTGTTAGTACCACTATATACTCTGGTGCATCTTTTTTTTTTTTTTTTTGCTTCCAGGTGTAAACTTTCCACAGATATCTTGTCACACCACCAAGTTTTTTCCCCTCATCAGTTTTATGGTTCACCTCATTTTTCATAGACCTCTCTGCTGATATATCAACTCCCAAATATCTAAATACAGTGGTCCCTCGTTTATTGTATTTAATCCGTTCCTGGAGGTGCTACTATTATCGAAATCTATGATTTTCAAATCAATTTTCCTTTATTGGCAATTCTTCTTAGTGTATGGAAGACTGGAGGAGGAGAGAGATTGAATTACTGTTTGGAAGGGGAATCCCCTTCGATGAAAATGTCCCTCGTGACCCATGCCTTATTATTAGATCTCCAAAACACACACAATTTACTCTTCATAACATTGTTTTTCTTGAACACACTGGGACTTTCAGAATGGTACACTAGTAACAGCTTCACTTTGAAATCCCCACTAGCATTAGCACAGAACATGAGCGTCAGCCTGTCTTTCATAGGCTTGTGTCCTGGCAGTGCCTTTTCCTCCTGTGTAATGTAGGTCCTCTTTGGCATTTTCTTCCAAAAGGCCTGTTTTGTCACAATTGAACACTTGTTCAGGTTTCAGTCCTTCAGCCTCTATGTACTCCTTGAATTCTTGCACATATTTTTCAGCTGCTTTGGGGTCCGAACTGGCAGCCTCACCATGCCTTACCACACTGTGTATGCCACTACGGTTGTTAAATCTCTCAAACCAACCTTTGCTGGCCTTAAATTCACTCACATCACCACAAGTTGCAGGCAATTTCTTTACCAGATCGTCGTGCAACTGCCTAGCCTTTTCACAAATAATCGCCGTTATAATACTATCTCCTGCTAATTGTTTCTCATTTATCCACACCAATAATAACTTCTCCAACCTCTTCGAGTACTGGTATCTCATTTTTTTTCAGCATATTTACCCTCTTTGCAACAACACGTCCTTGATTTTCCCTTTTTCTTGGCCACGATGGGACATATGGTTGTATAGGGTTTGTTATACATCCTGGCCAGTTTGGCCGCACTTAAGCCACTTTCATATTGTTCAATGATGTTTTTCTTAAAAATTTAATCGTATTTCTCACCTTCTTTACCCAAAGGGTTGGCACTAGGAGCTTTCTTTGGAGCCATAGTAGCTTATTTAGTACTTGCAAGCACTAAAATGAATGGAATATTATGAAATATTTCGTAGGGAGCAAGTGAGGGGACCGTTTCTCACTGGTAAACAATGGCCACACTGGCTGGGAAGGGAGGCCGCCCCGGCTCGCAGCGTGCGTACGCATCCCGGACGAACTACTATTCGCAAGTCAATCTACGATTAGCGAGCCCATGTTAATATGAAAATATCGCTATGATTTCCGAAATCTACGACTCTCGAGCCCTACGATTATCGAGGGACCACTGTACATCTATTTCCCTGATACTCTCTCTACACTAATATTAAATCTTTTATTACCTAGACTTTTTTTTTTTTTTTGTTAATTTCATCACCATGCTTTTCTTATATTTGCTTTTGATTTCCTCCTTTTACATAGCCCCCCCAAGTTCATAAACCAACCTTTGCAACTTCATTTAGAATTCCCCCGAAGAACTATGTTTTTTTGGGAGAGACCAACCATGATAACTCCCCCTTTGTATCAAAGTCTTTGTTTTTTAATCCCGCATTATAGTAGTTCTATCTCCTAACTGTTTCTCGAGCTCAATGAATGATTTCACAGGTCACAGTGCACCTCATAACTCACATTGTCCTTCACCTTACCTTCTTAAAATACCCCTTTATATTGTAACCCAAACCCCGTTAGCATTTACCCTTTCCCTTTTTTTTAGCACTGTTATTGATGGCAGGAAAGTAAAAAGTTTTATTTATGGTTATCATATTACTATATGAAATTTAATTTT